CAGGCTAATGTTTATAAAACAAACCAGAGGAATCAGTGCAGCCAGTGGATTGATAGGATTGGGAGATCAGTATTCCATGTTTACACGAACCAAAGATTTGTTAAATATTCTCCCACTTGTCTAACTGCAAAAGGAATATTCTGAGTGCCTGTTTCCTCTGCCAATTCACAGAAAAAGAAGTAGTGTGGCAACATCTACCACAGTATGAGCAAACCTAGTGTACCCTTAAATTTCTCCTTCCAGGCTCACTCATATCTCACAAATCCTTAGAAGAGATCAGGAGGGCAAATGTGGGAGAACGTATGCAGGAAAAGAAAATATTTTTTTCCAATAGAATCCATTTCCCTAGTGGATGGAAGTGATAGATTTATCTAACAAATATAACAGTAACTTCCTTTAAAACACCAAATAGCATGAAGTTCTTGAAACCCTCCTACAAATATGCACCTCTAACCAAAATGAAGTCAAAGTAGCAGCATATTTATATGTTCACTTTCAGCATTTGTCTCCGTCCATTACCATCACACTTCCCTCAACTATCCCATTTTCAAATTTTAGATTACACTTTTGTCAAAACACAAATAAATCCTTTTAACATTGAGTCTAAACAAATTCTAAATACCTTCTTGACCTCACCTGAAAAAAATGGGTTCCTTATTGAAATAACAGTCTACTTGACAAATTAAATATAAAAATATTTCCATTTTACTAAATGTGCAAGGTGACTTATTCACTAATTTAAAAGGTCCAATCCCACAGCAAAAATGCTTTTTGTTTCTCTTTCTCATTCCCGATTACAGTACCACACCAAAATAAGAATCACTTCAAAAAGAAATTTGTATCAATGACAGATTAGCTAAAATTCAGCTGATTCACTTTCTATTTAAATTCATTAACCTTGAACAGTAATAAATTTAGCAGTTTTATTGTACTTTCAAGTCCGATTTAAAAATTCCATCATCAATGCTCAATTCCATGAACACTTTTAAAAGCTATTTACACCAATTTTGTTAGAGAATAAGGCATATTTTAAATGCCTTTAAATATGCACAAAGACCCCTGGCTCTTTCTCCACTAAAATATGACAAAAAGGATTTCTTTCCTGACATTTCAATATCATCTTATGAACAGCTAGCTGAATATAACTCCCCATTTCCCAACTTTATGCCTTCCAATGCTTTAAACATAAGCCCACAAGTATGGTACCTAGGATATACTTGCTGATAGCAGAATGAAAATAGCTTTGAACAGAGGAAAGGATTAATGGTGGCAAGGAATTCCAAATAGATATTGTTTTCATTGCATTAGGATCAACCTCCATGGCTTCCAAACAAGTTTGTCACATATAACTGCATTTATACTGAAGCATTAGACATGAATATAAGCTCTTTTTAAAGAACAAAATAGATGGTTGGAACAGGTTTCTTACAATAAATGGCAATTTAATGCACTTCAAAACTATATTCATCCAACTGTGACACAAATTTATCCCCAAGTTTTAGTCCAGGTGAATACCAGACTTAGGACAAGAAAACTTCAACTCAGATATCTTCTCAGCAATGAATATGATTTTGACACTACTCTATGCCCTAGCCTCAGTCTTCAATCCCCAAGCAACACAATGCATTCAGTTTCTCTTGACAGCAATACATTAACCACCAATAACACAAACCAGAGTTTGCCAGATTTTGGTAGGATGATAATCCAATATGCTTTTTTATATATTGACCACGTGTGCCAGCAATACAAAAGGGTCTGGGTTTGGCAAGACAGCAGCAATGCACTGAAAAAAAAGTTATTATTTCCCTTCTCAGTTTTGTTCCATCTTAGATTAAACAACCTATCTAATATCTACAGAGTGGGCCTTTTAGCTCATCCTCCCCCTTAATTTTTGCTTGACAGATGCTGTGTTTAGTCTTTGAAATAGAGATGTTTAATATGTAAATAGTGCATTATGTCACAGAAGGGATGTTCCATATTTGGCCATTTAACGTGCCTGCATTACACAGAAGATCGGAAAACCTTTCTTGAAAGTTTTGACTAAACGAACATCCTCCTTCATGTTCAGAATGTGAGCAGCACATGACAGTTACAATAACTTTACACGCTATAAATAAGATAGCTGTTGTGTTCCAGTTTCCCTTCTCCCATCACTTATATATACACTTCCAATCACATGCCCAGATAACATATTTGCCATTATTTTAATACATATAAATTCCTCTTGAATTTATCTAAGTGACTGGGACGAACAAAGTATATCTAATATAAGGAAAATTTTGGATCAACAATTTGGCAATGTTGCTTCTGCACTGTAACTCTAAAAGGAGTTATACAAGAAACTTGCTATAATTTCTAACGTAGGCATATAATGCCATGCTTGTATGAAAAGCTGTCTAAAATTCAGGAGGTAAAAATTATTTTTTAATAACAAGCAACACAAATATAGAAAACAAATTAAAAAGATTTAAAATTGCTGATAACTTGGTAAGAGTGCAGCATTGGCATACTTATATTAGGACAACAAATTTTAAAATTATGGATATATGAAATAATGTTCCACTTTTATATGATACAGATACCAAGAGTATGTGTTTCCAAGCAATTCAGTCTCAAAACAATACCTGATCCAAATTCAAAATTCTAATAAACTGCATAATACGTAACAGATTAAAATGCTGGATATTTTGAGCTCAACAATCACATTTAGAGCTTTTGCTTTATTTTCACCAATAAAATGACTTAATTTACAAGAACGTTTATGTAGGTAACTTTACAGTAGGTAACTTCCACCAGCAAAATTAAAATCTACCAGCAAAATACACAAACCATGTCTGTAATTAGAGAGTCATCTGGCTAAATCTGAATTAAAAAACTGCAGAAAATGCAAAATTGCCAAAGCAAATATTTAAAAAATGAAGTTAAATTTGATTTACTGTATCGAGGCTACCTACCGATCATCTTTCTATGTATAAATACACATATAGTTAACTTAATTATTTCATTTTGAAAGAGGCAAGATAAATATTCATCATTTCCATCAGCTGACAAGTAAAAGCTAGTTTTAGTCCACTTATTCAGTTGCAGATCCAACAACACTGACAGGACCATGCCAACTGAGGTAGCTTGTGAATTGCCTTGTTATTGAAATCATTTGGGGGAGGAAGGATTAAATACAAGGCAGCATGTGACTTACATACAGTGTCTTGTAATACCACAGCATCCCCGAGGCTATTAAAACAATAGTGCAAGTGATACTTTGTGCTAACCATTCTGGCCTTTCCTTACCCTCATCCAATCTATGTCAATTTTGTTAGCACACACAAAAACCAAAAGAAAGCAGGTTTTTTTGCCATCTGGATTATGACACCAAACACGATTCTTTATAGTCTAGCAGTATTAACAGAGCTCTCCACATCTGCAGTAACTTCAAACATCCTTTCACTTCCTTTATAAAAAAAACATGCACACATGCAGCCAGTATGCAGCCCACCCATTTGTTTGTCTTTGTTGTTGTTGTTGTTGATGATGCCTATGACATCCCTTATTTAATTTTATATTATTTTTAATTACAAGTTGAGGTTGTTGCCATTGTTCAAAAAGTGAATCTGCCTTGGATCCATATATGTGACATGTGGCGTAAGAAAATGAAGATTTATCTGTCAAAATCACATCACAGATGGGGGGGGGCATTTATCATTTAGCTGAAAAGACAAGATTGCAGAGAGCAACCTCCTTTCCTGTCAAGCCAACCTTTAGAAATTTCTAACATGCTCTTAAACTTTTTATATAAGCAAACCTACACACCTTGGAAGCTGCCCTCTCTACTCTGGCCTGGGCAGTAAAAATGGCATCTGAAAATCAAGGTCAGCCATGTCACTTCACTAAGGGGCTGCCTTTAATTACAGTCCATGCAATGACAAAATGGAACAGAGGATGTTAACTCTTCTTTCACATTTATACCAGTCTGCAGAAAATTATGATTAAAAATAAATAAAAAGGCTATACAACCAACTCCATCAAGCATCAGGCATAACAGAAACTCTAAACCCTGCAGCAGCACATTTTGCATTTCCAGGCAGCTTTGGTGCCCTTTCATGGCCTATATAAAAGACTTGTATAAGAATTGGGGGAGGAAAAGCTACCCAGATTTGCGTTTTGTCTCCATTTTACACATTGGTTCAATCAACTTTGAAATTTGAGAGAAAGAATTATTCTGAGAAGTAAAGCTTATTTTTGTATGACTTAAAAGGTATTGTAGGGTGACACTTTTAGGATCCTTTCCATTCTAAGAACCAGAATAAGAACTAAGCAAGAGTAACAGGTGGACATAGATGTTTTATATTTCATAAGGAACTTACTTTTATGATGGTGGTGGGATTGTACCTGTTTCCTGCAATAAATGTATGAATGCTATAGTGCAGAGATATACACTAGGAGCATGTGACACAAAACTGAGCCAAACAAGTCTACACTCATGAACATTCACTGCAAAGATAGAGATATCCATCTGTCAAATAATAATTTGTTTCCTAATACCATAAACCTATGACCTATGTTAAAACATAATGATAAAGTATGATATGGAATTAAATTTGCTGTGAAGGCTTTTTTGTAAGGTAAGTATAAAGGGAGGAAACAGTGGATTTTTTTAAAAAAAGCTTCAGATGGGGGAAAAAGCCCAGTTCTCTTCTGTGTCCTCTTCTTTGGGTGAGCACAATTTGGCAACGCAGTATCAAAAAATGTATAGAACATGAAAGATGTGAAAGAGAGCAGCTAGAAAGTTATTCTATGATATGCCATGACTTTTACGCTTCTGTAGATAACTGTAAGAACACTGGAGGTGTGCATACTTACTATAAATAAAAATAATGAAATTTTAATTCACGAATTGGTAAGATAAAATGTCAGAAAACATTTTTTACAAAACAACAAACTTTCAATGTTCAGCCTGTAAGCATGCCATTCCTGCCTCCCCTCCCCCCACCACTTTGATTTACCTGCTATATGTTCCTGCTTAGGACAAATTCCTCTAGATGACGTTGACAAACAATCGTCATCCTCAGGTGTGACCTGGATGCCAACCTCCACGGGATTGGAAGTTTTTCGCAGCTCGCTTGGCGAGGGTGAAGGGGGCTTATCCACAGCCTTCTCTAGGCAAAGAGTGCCATTGCATTGTTTCCGTTTGTGCTCAATAAAAATAAGAATATCCCCCAAAGGGAAGTTCATCTGACACTGGCCACAGGTAAGGAGGTCGTGGTCGCCTTCTGGAGCTCCCAAAGTACCATGATCTGGTTCATCGTCTGTAAGAATGGCTTCAATAGGTTCGGCTGCAAAGAAAGAAACAAAAGAAATCAGGAATTCAAATACAGATTAAGAAATAAAAAGAATTGGAGAGGGAAAGTATGTTTTCAGAGTACAGGACAAACATTTTTAAAAAATCCCAAATACCCCAAACACTTCTAATCTAGCGTTGTGCTGGGGTGCCTAAACTAAAAAAAGGGGGGGGGAGGAACATCCACACAAGTACTTTATTTCATCAAGAGCATTTCTTAAAACAAAATGCATTACACATTCCTATTTTTAAATGATTATATGCTTTATTATAGTATTAGTTTTAACAGAAAAAAATAGGTCACTCTTGTTCCAAACCTAAGGAGTTTCTTCTTAATAGCATGTTGTCATGCTATAAGAAAAGAAATTTACCAGCGACATCAAGCAATTGTATCTGAAAGAAAACCAAATGTAATGCTAATAACTGAGGTGAGAATTTCAGATTCTTTCAGAGCTCAAAAAATTAGAGAGAGATTTGTTATTTACAAATCAGCATGTTAAATAAAAATACAAATGTCTCAGAATTCTTATCTTTATTTACCTCCTCCAAAAGTAAACCTCAGAACTATCTATCTATAAACCCATGGATTTCTCTTTTCTTTTCACAAAACAATATTTGTTTATTTTCTCCCTGTCAAGTGTCGTATGTTGGAATGAATATGCTACTTTAGGGTACACTTATGCATACAAGTGTTTGGACATGCATACAAAAATATAAGTAAGCATAATCACATAATTACAAAATTGATTGCTTGTGTCCATCCGCCAGTTGGCACCCATTACCTGAACAGCCCATGGTTTTTAAGTATGTTCCTATGTTCTGTGTCATACATATGCAGATGCACACAGAATTTCCTAGAAGTCTTCTCTAAAATGATCAAGCAAACAGAAAACAAGATAAATCCACAGTATTTTATTTATCAAGTATTATTAAGAAACAAGAATAGCCAAACATTTCATTTACAAAATATAAATATGTATCTTCAAACTACTCAAAATTTCCAGTCACAATTAAGATGCTTTTGAACATCTAGGAAAATAAACCAAATTAGTCCTTTTCGCCATTTAGAGGAAATGTGTCACATTTATTCAGAATATATTAGTAATGATGGCCTTCATAAGGTAAAATATTAGTATAAACATGACTGAATTCCAGCATTCATTACCAAAATCCTTTCTTTACAGCACCTTTCTTAATGTTGTCCAAGTTGATTAATTTGCTGAACAAGCTCCAGAAAGCTAAAATTCTGTTTATACAGGCAACATTCCAATAGGTATTTTAACAAGGTGCATAACAATACTGCAATTAGCTTTTTATCCCACTATTATTTTCTATTAAAGTACTTTTGCAGAAAGTGTTCATGATTTCAGTCTTCCACACAGACTGAAAGAGAGGGAGAAGAAAAAATCATCTTGGGATGTAATTTCATTACAACCGTACAGTACTTTCACCTATAAACAAACATGAAATAGTACTCTTGCAAAATATCAAAAGCTACCAGTTAAGAAAAAAGTGAAAGGACACAATACCTCAACAGTTAATCAGCTTGACCTTCTTTAATATATGGCCAATTTCACATTTAATGAATTTAAAGCCACAGAGAATCAAAAAATAGATTTTAATTTGACTGAGTCATATTGAAATAGATTTGGTGGTTTTTTTAAAAGTATACTCAGATTTAATTTGTTTCCGAACAATCCATATTAGTTAAGGGAATCTCAAGAAATTCCCATATGTGTAAGGGAACATAATTTTAGGATGTCATAGCTCTATCTAAACAATTCTGCAAATCTCTGCTTTCACATTATTTTTTGTCTCCCAAGTTTACTCCTAAATATAGAGTAATAATGATTATAGAAACATGAACATTATTTTTACATTAAAATATCTTCAGGCCATAGCTCTTAAGCTCTCTTGACCAAACATAATGTAGTAATACCAGTTGTGATTAATAGTCAAGAGGGAAATTGGGACTATGAGTGATTTTATGGTATCTACTTTCCCCTACTATTTTCGGGTGAGCAAATATCTAGTTCTCTCTAACAAAATGGCAGGCAACAAATAGAATAATAAATTGTCTCAGTACACTCTATCTTGAAAATATTTAAATACCTGAAATATTTTTCCATGCAAGCTTCAAAGCTCAATCTAAGAAGCAAAGTATTTTCTATAAAACAGAAAGTTCTATAAGGAGTAATTAGTCAAACTATAAGACTAGGGCCTAAAATTGTGAAATTAGTAAGTTGGTTTAGCAAGAAAACTCAAAACATTTGTTCCCTAAGCAGTTAAAATTTATACTAGATAATGGTTGGGGAAAATGATTTCTTATAAAGTTGGCTGTAAATTGGTCTAGATTTTCTCTAAAAAACAGCAAATCAAGTAAAACTAAAAAGTATTGTTGATTGCACCTTCGCAATTTATCCAATTAATTTTAGAAGAGGCAAAGTTCTTAAGAATAGGATATTACAATGTACAGATATAAAACCCATACCTTCCATATGTTTATGCATTTAATATAAATGATTGCTAATCAAGATTAATGATAAGACAATAAATGAGCAAGAGCTAGCACACTACGTTTGTTTAAAAAACGGTTTCCTAAAATACAGAATGCAGGGCAAAAGTGTACTGCTGTTATTAAAAGTATGTCTGCAATTCAAAGAGCTAGTGTATTATCATCCTTGATGCTGATTATTTGCATGGTATGCTTTGTTTCTAATTTATTGGCAACCACTTTTTATATTTTAATTGTTCGTTATTTCTGTTTACATTAATACATCATTAATGAAAAAGGGGATTGTATTTTCTCTTTTAAAGGCCAACCTAAAAGGAAGGTGGAGTTTTTAATTAAAAAACAAAACACTAGTGTCACAGATTTTCACTTCTTTACAAAGAACAGGAGAAAAAAAGAAAGAAGACAGAAGCAGAAATGCCAACGAAGGCATTTTCCAGATTATAGTAGAAAACATGTCTTTCATTTTTGAAATATGAATTAGGATGGAACAAGCAATCAAATGAGTCAAATTAATGCAAGGCAATTAAACATATATTTCTCCCTCCCCATCCGCAAAATAGTTAAAACTGAAACAACAGCTCAGTTTCAACTTTGCATTCAAGTGGATTACTTTAAGAGAAACTGAGGGAGAGGAGGGATATTCAAAAAGAGAAGAAAGGAAAAAAGAAAATTTAAGTGTTTAGGTGAATGAACATCTGGATGGATGTAAACTTGGGAAGGAGCAGAAAATACAATTTGGGGGCATATAGGTTAGCCTCAGAAACCTCATCTAGTAACACTTGCAAGGGAGCCAAAATATTTGCTTGCCTTTTCAGCCAGCTGTTCTCTTAGAGATCTACTTTAAAAACAAAATAAACCAATTGATTTTCAAAAGCAACAATAAGCTTTCTAATAGGACTGAGACTGAATGAAAACAGCCCTCACGAAGCCACCCAAACAAAAGCAGATGCTCCACAAATTAAGCCAAAGCACCCAAAAGTCTTTGGAAAGCAATTTAATACCCTTGAATTTTTGTAGTTTTTATCAAAAAAATTAGTTGCCATCTAAGAAATACTATTTCTAAATGCTAAGAAGGGTTGCCTTTCTCAGTTTGTGTTGTGTGGATAAATAATCACATACGATGTTGTAGTGTGCTTGATCATATAATAATTATTTTAATGCTGTTTTTCCAAACAGAAGTATTCCTGCTTTGGAGGGAGGGATGACAAGATGAAAAGCAGTAACTGTAAATACTCTATAGGGGAGGGAATCTAGTAAAAGAATAATTTGAATGTTACAGTCCTTTCCAAAAGATTAACACAGGAAACAAAATTAAAAGCAAAAAAGGAGGAGCTGAATTACAGAGGAACAGTGGGAGATAAAGAAGGGAGAATATCTGAACACACACACACACACAACATATACATAAATACACAGAACTCTCGCCCCACCTTCCAATGCCAAATGAAAAATATAGAAAATTAAAAGATGTGTGAGCAAAAAGGATCAGGTTCAAGTTCACTAAGCTTTCTTGATCTCACTCTGCCTCCTAGTGGCTAAAATTCACATTTAAATTTAAAAAATATACAGAAACGGAAAAAGAATAGTTTTAACCCAACTCACATAAATTGCCCTCTCTGCTATAATCTCATTATCCCCTATTCTCTCATTTTGCTCCCCAAGACAAGATGAAGAAGACATGAAAAAATAAACTTCTATAGGAATTCTGCTGATCCCTTGTTACACACCACAAATCTCTAAACAAAAACTTGCACCTCTATATATTTATTTTTGGGGCTAATTTTCAAGTCTTCTGCAGGTGAATGTGGAGCAGAGAAACTAGAATATAGTTACAAATCATCTTCTTTACATTGTAAAAAGGGGCATCTTTTCCTTCAAATAGCCACTTCTCCTTCCCCACCCCCTACCTCTCATTTCAGATAAGAGTCAAATTAGGTTATCAGTTTGGCTGAAGGAAGGGAGGGAGAATGAATCTTGCAACGTGTTTGGAAGGTGATAGCATGTTCAAAAGTGTCAGTTATGTTGCAATAAACATACGATTTTGCATTTCAAATAACAAAAATAATTGTAGGAATGGACAGAAAAGCAACATGCAACATATTTGAAAAGACAACTATAATTCATGAAAATGAAAGGGCAGCGATGTTTCATTTGTTGGCTATTTTAATTAAGTATTCGTATTGCTAAACGATATTTTACATTACAATGGAAGCAGCAATTAATGGGAGACAAGGCCACTGACGGCGAAAATGCAAAGTTTTGCAAAACCAAAAGAAAAACCAATCTTGAAAATTAAAGGGGAAAATAATAATAAAATAATAACAGCTCAAGGAAGACCATTTATTTTTCTTTTGCAAATATAACTTATACATTTAATGTCTTCCTTCTTTCCTCCCCCCCCCCCCCCCCCACCTCGACTTTGCCCTCCGCCTTCAACCATCTCAAGTCCAGACCAGACTTCCCTTTTGTGTTTGCAAGCAAGCACGGCTTTGCTCGAGCTTTTGTACACCGCATGCCTGGAAGGCTGAAAGAGGAAACCCGAGCCATAGCAAAAATCCCTATTTTGTTTAAATGAAAAAGGAAATACAACCTTTAGATCAAAATGCAATTACTGAGGTGGAAGTTCTAATTAATTGTTTAGGGGAGATTAATGTTCCCTTTCTTATGATCAGAGCTGACACAGCTGCACGTAAGCTTGTATTTATTTTTATAATATCTACAAAACCTTGCATGTGTGCATGTATATATGTTGTATGAATTTCTTCTCCTTCCAATACGTTTGTTCTCCTAGCCTGTTTTGCTGGCAGCGACTCCGCAGCACACGCGGCGCTTGTAAACAGTCAGACACGAGATTTTTCCCAATCAAAATCCACTTCCACTTTTTTTTTTTGAAAATCTTCCAAAAACTAGTACAAAAGAAAGGAGGGGAATTCCACACGCATACATATCCACACACTCCGATCCTTCTCACATTTTTAGCTGTACGCAAGCTAACCCAAGTTTCTGCAAAGCAAGAGTTTGGGGGCTTAACGACGGAAAGAGAAAAGGAGGGGGTAAAATGAGGCTGGTAAGAGTAGGCAGTTGACTGGGGGAGGGGAGAAAAGCTAATCGTGGCGGTGCAAGAGAAAAGCAGCCGATCTCCGGCCAAAAACAGACACCACGTCTGGCCCCTTCCTTGCCCTTTCCCGGTGCGGAGTTGGAGAGGAGAAAGAAAGAAAAAGGAGCGGGACATACAGAAAAGGGTGGGGGTAGGCGATCTCTCTCCGCCACTATCCCTATCTTGATGGTGGAGACAAAAGAAATGGTCCCCCCTTTCACCCCATCTATAAAAAAGGAGATTTGCACGGAATGAGCAAAGCGGATTTGAAAAAAAGGCAAAGTCGTCACACGACAAGGCGCTCGGAGAGCACCTAATCTCTCCGCGTGAAAATAAAAGAAAGTGCCCCGATTCAACCACCCCCACACACACACACATACATGTACCGCTTTCTTCCGTACTTTCATCCCCTCCTTTAAGCCGCCTGCCTCTTCTCTGTCCTTTGCACACACACAAAAATGTGTATCTTTGCGTGCTTTCTTAAGTTGCAATTCATTTGTAAGCTGCAGGCGCGCGCACTCAGACACGCTCTCTTCCGGCAAAATATCTATAGAAGAATCAATGGGGGGGAGGAGAGACAAATGGAACTTTGAGCGAGGGAGCAAGCGGTCGTAAGCGCTGAAGAACAGAAGGACCTTCTCTGAAAAGTACTGAAGGTGCTAGCGATGCAAAAAAAAGAGGGAGGGGCAAGGGGCCTGAGTTTTAAGGTGAGTTGCTTTTTTGTCTTCCAATGCATTAAAAAGACGCATGCACAAAGAAAGAGTGAAATGTGCAAAATATTAAAAAATAATTGAATTATGATTGTTAGTTTGCAAGCGAGTGTGCTCAAAGGTAAAAAGCAGAGCGGCAAGGTGGTTTACTTACGCGAAAATTCCCGTTTGCTTAAGTGCTGGGGTTTCCCTTGCTTGCGGCGAGACATTGTGGTGTTGGTTGCTCGGGCGGGCGCGCACGGAGCTCTCTCGCTCGGATCACATCGGGAAGCGCCGGGTGAGCAAGGAGGGAGACTCCAGAGAAAATACCTTCATCAATGTCTTTTGACATCCAAAATAAATTAGAAATAATACAAAGATGGCGCGGGGAAGATGAATTGTGGGATAGCAGTCATGGCTTTTTCTTTTTCTTTTTTTCCTTTCTGTGCAAGAGAGGGAGAAACAGACAGGGGGGAAAAAGAAGAGAGAGAGAGAGAGAGAGATGAAAAAAATGGCAAAAGCCCCCCTGAGCTGCAAGTTCAAGTGCGGACGTGACGTCCCTACGAACTTGAACGTCAAGCGGCTGGATGGACAGAGACATACAAAACATGGGCAGGGCGAAACTGGAGGAAAGGGGAGGAGGGAAGCTGTGCGCCACGCCAATGGACAGTCATCGGGGGCTGGACATGATCAAGCAAAAGAGTGAGGGGGGAGCCGTAGCAGGGCAAGCCAATGGCCAGTGGTGGGGGGAGAAGAGGGGGTTACCCTCCTAGGCACCAGGCACACGCTGCTGCTCCTCCGGAGGGAGGCGGAGTGGTAAAAGACGCGGGGAGGGAGAGGCGTGCGTAAAGGCGCGCAACAGCCCCGGAGTGACCGCAGAAAAAGGAAAGGCACGCTGGAGGAGCAAGAAGACTTGATACGAAAGAAAGTGTTCTGTAAGCCTTTAAAAAAATCAATTAGAGCCAGGAGGGAAATTTAAAAGAGAAGGGAGGGGCGAGCAGAGGGAAAGGGAGAGACCGTAAAATGTAACAAGAAGTCAAATACCACTGGAAATGAGTGCTCTTATCTTCATAGAGTTGCTAGCAAATTGCCGCACAATTAAAAAGCAAAACAGCGGTAACGAACAGACAAAAGTGAGAGCATAACTACCTCACCTTTTAAGAGGTGAAAACTTAAAATTGTTCAAGTAGGATCAGGCCCAGAGGTTATGCCATTATTCTCCGGACAAGCAATTACCTCGGAAGGAGCAAGTATAAAAAACAACGCTGATTGTTTGATTATAGTAACAGATACACTGCAACGGATCCTGGGAGCTCTATTTGATTTCGTGTGGGTCTCTATTGCGAAGAATAGAAGTTGGTACATTTTTCTTAAGATTAAAAATACAGTAATTCCTAAATGTTGTATGGATTAAAACGGAATAAAGGATCTCCAGCTTTGACAAACAGGTTGATTCTCCCTTTTCCCCACTTGGTTGGAATCGTCGCTCCGTAAAACATACTAGTATATAACCAGAAAAATGTGTAAAGATTCAACATAATTGAATAGCCCTCGTTGAATTCAGTGACAGTTACCCTTGAGTAAACAAGAGGACACTCGGGTTGTAAGAATGTAACCCATTGTAAATAAATATAACTCCATTACCAAGAGAATTTAAGGGGGATTCTTCATTGGACGCAGTGGAACTTCCTTCCAAAGAGATTGCATAGGATCGCAGAACTCATGTTGCCAATATGCTTGAGACCCTGGTCCTTTACAAGTAGTCTAAGTAAGCTGAAGGGGGAGGGGTATATAACAAGCTATGAAACGTGCTGATCCTGTCTTAGGAAAGCTGGAAATGGGGTCAGAGAACGGAGGTTCACCTGTTGCTTTGTGGGGGGGGGGGGGTGTCCTCCGGCGAAACCTGAAAGGTAGCTTTGGAGACGGTAGCAGGTCTTATTAAGTTTGTGAAAGAATAAGTTATTATTTGTGAAATAATAATACGAAGCTTTTCACCAACCCCCTAACCATGTACTGTCCAAAATATTTTCGGAAGAAATTTAAAAGTGGAACATTTTTTTTAAAAAAAGAGGAAGACGGTTGTCCCCTCCCAAGAAGAAAGGGAATGTTTGCGATCCTATCCTGAAGAGGAAAGAAACTTACAGGGGGCGAAAAAAACGATTTGTTAAGATGGGGGACATATCAGCGACCATGAAGGGTCCCGGATTTGGTGCTGGAAGGGGAAAAAACGTTTATCTTCAACTCCAGCTCACAATATACAAGAGAAGGCAAGTCTAGAAAAAGGCTCCTACGTAAAAACACCCCTTCATTTTAAGAAGAGAAGAATTAGCCCCACAAGTAATGAAAGGGAAGGAAAGAATAGGAAAAGATTGGGTTTTCTCCGTGGTCAAAAAGGCCAAGTAAGAATTCCACGACGGCCTGACACCTTTAGTCCCATTGAACTGATTGAGGCTCATTCTTAGGTAATTGGCTATAGAAGGGCATTCCCTCGGCTTGAGGAGGGCATTAGGGGAGGGGAGGAAGAAGCAGCAGACAAGGGAATGATAACCAGCAATTAAAAAGGACCGCTGCCCTAATGTCTGTGTGAGAAAAGCAAGAGTTCCTCGTTACAGTAAAGAAAAAGAAAAAAAGCAGAAAAATCCCGCGCTGGGGAAAATGAACTTTCTGCTGTTCGCCTTCCAACCACAAAAAGAAAGAAAGCCGCACAGAGAAGAGAAGGCTAAGCACGGCGGCGGAGGGTGGGTCGGTTGAACAGCAGAGGCGAAGGAACGGGAGGCGGGCTGGGAGACGCGAAGGAGCGAGAGGGTTCGGCGCCAAGCTTGGCGACGCGAGCTGAGCAGAGCGAGGTGCGGCGGCGGCCCCGTGCGTCCTTGCGGTGGGGGAGGGGCGTCGTGCGCGCGGGCCTTTTCCAGACACGGCGAAGTCCGCGCGGGCAAAAGGTCCTTTTTCAACGCTCCTTTCTCTGCCCCCTTCGCCACCTTTCAATCACTTCCGTTGAAAGCAATGAAGGCCAAGAAAGAGGAGCGCGAAGGTGAAGCCAAAGGCTTGATGTGACGCGTGCGATTATCGATTGTGTTGTAGTTTTGTTTTGCTTTTTTTTTTAACGGTCTTGAATGGGGCGGGGGGGAATCGACCTAGCCATTTCAACTTTGGAGAGAGAGCCTGATGCCCCGCGCAGGGCCCGGATCAATTCTGTCCCCTGAAAGAATCGAACTTGGCACGCAGGCGCACGCACAGGCCACCAGTCAGCCAAAGTTGTGCATTTTTCGGGTCTTTCTGATTTCTAGAAAAGTCTGTCTGTTGGGTGCGTTTCTTCGGAAGAAAGTTCTAGAGTGGGAGCCCTTGCGAACGGGAACTTTTGAAAAGTACTTGAGAGGCCGGCTGAAATCTTTAATGAATGGGTCTCAATTCCGTCCCCCCCGCACTAATTCTTGGGCCCGGCCGTCGAATTTGTCTAATTTGCGCCCACTTGGGGCGCTCTCCTTAATAGGCGCCTCACACTTATGGTCCATCCTGCGGGGGCCTACCCCTGAGTAAGACCACCGAAGGCCAGTGGGGCTTATTCCTGAGTAAGCATGCCCAGGACCTCAGCCATAACGCCCTCCAATAGGCACCGCTCGTCTTTAAAAACCCAACTTTTACACGGCCCGCGCTTTGTCCAACGCGCCGAAACAGCTGCTTCCAAACGAGTTGCGCAGAAACAGGCGCGCTCGCCTCCTTGAAGGGGCGTCTTGTGCAAGCTTCCACGCGGACTCGGACACACGCGCCCACTTTCTCAACAAGCTCTGTTGGGTGCAGCAAGCTACTTGCTGACCAGCCGACGGTCGGAACTGCCACCCCTCTGCGCACCACTACAAATGTTTCGACTGCAGACCTGCCCCGTTTTGAACCGAGGGTTTTCCGAGGATAGTACAGGGCCTCGCGGGAAGGAGTGGGCATTCTTCATTTCTCTCCAAACACATTCGCACGTGCTTTTCTCGCGACTGTTGACTCCACTTAACAGAACTTCTGAGCAATTGGCATAGGATCAGGGTATAATTCTTGCTGTCACCCCAACAGAAAGATCTGTTTTCTTTCATCCAAACGCGTACCCGGAGAAGCTCAAAGACCTCCTCTTCAGTGTTCCCCCTTCTCGGATACGCCTGCACAACCCCGGCCCTCTCAGAAACGATTTCTGATCCGAACGGGGAAGGAAGAGGCTCTCAGAAATCAGCAGATCGATTCCCCTCCTAGCACTTACGGGGCTCCAAAACATAACAGCGCTTTCGCCTCGGCTCCGGAGAAAAAGGCAAAGGACGAGTTTCCCGAGGAATCGAACGATCCCCGGGCGAGATGGAGTGGCCGTCGGCAGCGGCGTCGCGTGCGAATTAGTTAATGACGCTGGATGGAAGGGGGTTCGAACTGTAGCCCCCCTCCGTAAGTTTCTTCTCTGGTCAAGGGAACTTTGGGGAAGGCAGCTGCTGAATTTCGAAAGCACCTGCACCTGGGCATGGGGGGAGGGGGGGTTGAAGAAGGAATCGTGACGATTTTACTGCCAGGGAAGGCATGAGCAGCCCGCCATTCCTTGGAAGTCAAGCCAAATACGGCTATTAGAAAGTTCAGTGCCTCATTGACCTTGGTGTAACCGAGTTCCCGGGTAGATAGACGCCTTGAGTTCAGCGGCTCCTCTTTGGAGGGGCAAGGCCTTTCCAGGGGAAGGGGACATTTTGGGTGAGTGGCACTGCACCTGGCAGGCCCTGAGGTGATGTGCCTGCTGTGGTCTGTCCTGCAGAGTTAAGCAGGCCTGTAGCTGCCAGTGCCTGCAAGTCTGTTCGGAGACGGCTTCGCGCGCCTCCACCCGTACGACAAGGGCTCCCCCTAGAACCGGCGAGTGAGATATTGATGGAGGAGGAAGCTCCGGTTTCTTAGAGTCCCTTTGCCAGCTTTCTGTCCTCCCTGGGCTCAGCGAAAACCCCACGGAAGAAAAAGGTGCGTTGAATGGGACAGCGAACAAGGAGGCACTTCTGAATATCATCAAAATGTCCGCACCTTTCCTTCTTCCCATCCCACCGCAGCAACTCGATCTCCTCCAATACTACCTGCAGTCAGCCCGAGTAGATGTTGGCAGCTGAAAAATGACACCACTTGGAGTTACCTTAATGGCAATCTGTGAATGTTGAAGATGAATAGTAAGATTAGATGGTAGCGAGGGAAAAACCGCCCAGTAAAACAAGGAGGCTGCGATAAGATGAAAAGATGAAAAGAAAGAAATCAAACCTAAGGCGGGTAGTGAGAAACATCCGGTAGAAAATATGGTAAGGGGAAACAGGTGGGGAAGGATTTCATTGTGAAATGGGCAAAAGGGTGCAGGAAATGTGACACAAACGCAGCTAGATGCACAGCTCTGTGGTAGAGAAAAAGGGGGAGGTAGTAAAGGCACAAAATACAACTAAAGTTATCAGTGAGCTAATGTAGAAATCAGCCCTGTGGAATCAAAACAAATTCCTTCTGCTTCCAACTAAAATAACGTCAACTTCAGTATGTTAGATGAAAGATCTTTTGATATTTTTTTCAGCATGTTTGTCTTCCAAGCAAACATGCTTATTTGGAAAGAAATTTTCTGAAGTCAGTGCAGCATAGTTGGAAGAAAAGTGCTTTGAATAAGGAGCAAAATGGGTGTTCCAAAGGAGTATATGTGCAAATGAGAGTTAAATCCATTTGTAAGTACATTTAATACACACCATTAAAAGTAGGCAAATAATTCTGTTCTCAGGCTTGTCTGAAAATATGCTTGAAATAAGGAAGATATGCATATTTTTGGCACTCTATCTGGAATACTAGTCCAAAGCAAGTATATTCCTTTAAAAAAATTGAAAAGAGTACCTACCTTTGCTTAGACCATGTGTGAAAAAGAGCCAGAATCAATGTACACTCTAATTATGTTTCAAAACATATTTAAAATATATATTTGTGTGCATGAATACAGGTTTTCTTCACACTACTGACTTATCTATAGTTAAATTGGCCATGTATTATGCATTTAGCCCAAGTTTTTGATTGCCAAGATGCCCTGAGCTATAAGCTAGCCATGCAGGCAGGATTTGCCAATTCGCTTGGGTAAAGCTGCCTGGTTAGTGATACAGTATGTCTTGCAAACCCAACTATGCAATCTGAAGCTCTGTATCCTGACTGGAATCTAGCACTATTTTTGTTTCATTAAATTTTTCATGTTAGCAGAACTATCAATATTTTACTTTCATTTTTGTTTTCTGCTTTGTGTTACCTGTGTGTCTCTTGTCTTTAATTTCTAAATAAATTCCACCTAACACCCCTTTCTTTTACTGTAGGAAGGAACAATTAAAAATGAGGCTTAGTTATTTGGAAGACATAATTAAGAAGGTGGTTTCAGAGACCCCACCCCTCAGGGGCATACTCCAGACACCTTTCTCTGTTCTACAGATAAGATTGAGACAGAGGAGCACTGATCTTCCTGATTGTGATGGGTTACAAGTCCCATCATCTCCACTTATTGGTTGTGCTAACAGAGACCGATTCTCAGTCTTGAGACCAGAAATTTCCCAACCATGATCAAGAAGCA